CTCTCTTTTTCTCTGAATAAAATATTACTTTAAAAATTAATGTGTTAAGAGGAAATTATTATTTTAGATTTGTTTATTTTATGTGTGTCTTTTAGCATGTGCATACCTGGTGCCCACAGAGATCCAGAAGAGGGCATTAGATTCCCTAGAACTGGAGTTACAGATGGTTGTGAGCCACCATGTAAGAGCTGAGACCTGAACACGGGTCCTCTGCAAGAAGAACAAATGCTCTAACCACTGGGTCATTTTCCTAGCTCTCAACACGTTTATTTGGGGAGGGGGATGGCAGCGTCTTCAGCAGCCTCGATAGCCCCCAACTCATTATGTAGCAGAGAATGACCTTGAACTACTGATCCTCCTGAACGCTGGGATTTCAGGTGTGGAACCCCACTAGACCTAGTCCATGCGCTGCTGAGGATCAGACTTGGGTATATGAGACAAGTGCTCTGCCCACCCTTTCATTTTCCTTTTAAATTACATTTAAAAAAAGAAAAATAAGCCCCTGTTCTAGAATGTTCTCTCTCCCTCTAGACTCCAGTCACTGACTCCACCCACAGGCTGCCCTAGCCACAAGAACCAGTCCAAGCCAGGTTCACATCCTTTTCCGCTACAATGCACCTGGAGCTTCCTCTCTCCTGGGGCTCACTCTTTCCTCTGGGCTCAGACACAGCTCTTCTGCCTCAGCCTCTGGAGTGCTGGGATTGTAGGTGTGTACTCTGCGCTTGTCTTACACTTGTATCTTTAGGTGCTTTCCATATACTTTCCAGTGCTAGTTTCAGAGTTTCACATCTCAGAGTAAGGTCTTTGATCCATTTTGAGTTGATTTTTTTTTAATGCAGGATGAAAGATCCATTTTTATTCTTTTGCATGTGACTATCCAGTTTCCCCAGCATCATTTGTTCAAGAGACTTTTTTCTCCAGTGCATGCCTTTGACAACTTTATAGACGATCAGGTGGCTGTGGCTGCATGTGTTTGTTTCTTGATCTTGTATTCTATTTCATCTCAACACTATGCTGGTTTTTTTTTCACCCTCTGGCTCCAAAGTATAGCTTGAAATCAAGTCTGAGGATATCCCTGCCATTATTTTCTTTAGGATGGCTTTGACTTGTGTGTGTGCTTCTACATGAACTTTAGGATTGTTTATCCTATGGCTGTGAAGAAAAAGATGGCATTAGAACCTTGATGAGGATCATGTTGAATCTGTAGATGTCTTTTGATAATATAGACATTTTCAATGAGTATAGACATTTTCAATGTTTTGTCACCTCCCTCCCCTGCCCCCGAAACAGCTAGGTCTGGAACTCGCTCTGTAGACCAGGCTGGCCTCAAACTCACAGAGATCTGCCTGCCTCTGCCTCCTGAGTACTGGAATTAAAGGCGTGCACCACCACTACCCAGCCATTTTCAGTGTTTTAAAGCTTTCATTAGAGAATTATTTCATCTCCTTGGTCGGATTAATTTCTAGGTACCTTGTTTCTTTGGGGCTACTGTGAATGGGGTTCTTTTTCTATTTCTTTCTCAGTGTGTTCAATATAGATCACTATTTATTTTTGGAGGGCTAGAGAGCAAGTCCATGTCTCTGTGCTCATTAACTAAGCATTCTACCACTGAGCTCCACCCCATGCCTGAGAGTCAGGCTTTAAACTCTATCACCTGCCCATCAAAGCTGTCACCTGAAACTCACCTGCCCCTAGGATCACAAAGAGAGCCAGCCCTACCTCGTAATCAGTATTTACTCAGAAGACTTTTGTCCTATTTTCTGATTTATATGCCTTATTCTAGAACTTTATTTTTCCTTGTCTCCATTTCTTTTTCCTTGTCTCCCCCACACCTTTTTTTTGTTGTTGTTTTTTTGAGAAGGGGCTTCATGTAGCCCAGGCTGCTCTCCCTTTGCTATATTAGTTAAGAATAGCCTTGAACTTCTGATGGTTTGTGCCTCCATCTCCTGAGTGTTAGGATTACAGGTAGGCATCACTATATCTGGTTAGTGTAATTCTACTTTGCTTTCTGTGGCTGTCATCAAACACCGACCGAAAGCAACTTGGGGAAGAAATGGTTTATGTGGTTTATAGGTTACAGTCCAACACGGAGGGAAGCCAAGGCAGGAGTTTACGGTAGAAACCTGGAGGTCAGAACCAAACCAGGAGCCACAAAGGAACACTTCTTGTTTTCTCAGCCGGCGTTCTTTTTGTTTGTTTGTTGTTTCAAGGCAGGGTTTCTCTGTGTAGCTTTGAGTCTGTCCTGGAACTTGCTCTATATTCCAGGCTGGCCTCAAACTCATAGAGATCGCCTGCCTGTTGTCTCTTGAGTGCTGAGCTTAAAGGCATACGCCACACAGCCTGGCCAGCTTGTATTCTGATATAACCCAGGACTACCTGTCCAAGAGTGGCACTGCCCACAGTGGACTGCCAAAATAAGCCATCACTGCTTTGTTTCCTGTTAGGTGAGCTTTCTACCAACAGAGCTACATACTCAGCCCATGGTTCAGAGAATTCTAAGGGTGCCTCATTGTTGGGAGGAAGCATGATTCCTCACTGCTTCCTGTAGCAGGGTAAGGTCATTGTAGAAGTGGTAGGTGACCCTCTGTCTCCTCCCATCTGTTGCGACTACCAGGGTGTCCTCTGAGATGGTCCCGGGGAAGACTTAGAGAATTGGCTCTGCTCGACCTGAGTTCTAGACAGACTGCTATGCCTGCACAGTGAGACCTGCCCCAGACCCGGGGACCCGCTTCCCACTGGCAACACCCACTCCTCTCTCTAACTAAGGCTTCATGGGCTCTGGTATGAAAAGGGCAGCAGGACTGGCCTGGCCTGTGCTCCTTCCCTTATTTGAAGTTTGCTGAGCACTTACTGTGTGCTGACAGTGTAGGGTATGACCACTGCACTCACCCGTGAGTGAGCAGACGGCATGTCCTCTGCATGAGCATATGTGTCTGCTCCGGTGTCTGGCCTTGGGGGCTCTTGTCACCTGGGGGGCTTTTAGGCACTGAGGTCGTGAGGGCTGAGGAGGCTTAGGTGAACACTACAGAGCAGAGTCACTATAGTCATTCTTGGGTCTTGACAGTGATAAAGGTGGGAGGCTGCCTGGGATCAGCCTCTGAATCCTCATCTCCAAGGGGAGGGAACCTTGAATAGAGTTCTCATGGAGCATTGAAAGCAGAAGCTATGTCTAGTGCCCCAGTTAGATGCTTTCTGCAGGTGTCCCCATGACCTTGACTTGTGAGCCCTAGGAAACCCCGCAAGGCAGTGGGAAGTACTTAGGATCAGGAAGACAGAGACTCAGAGATGTCCAGGGACCTGAATTAGGGCACAAAGAGAGCCCCTGGCTTCTAAATTCTATACAAGGGACCCCTTGATTCTATATGTTGGAATTCCAGGGCCTGTTAGTGACACCAGTCTGAGAGTCCTCGCAAAGAGATCAATGGCTTTATCCAGGAGATTCACAGCTGTGAACCCTGAAGACCAAGGGCTGGCATAGGGAATGAGTTCTTCATCATAGGAGGCATATAAACATGGCTGTGCAAAAACACCCCCAGGAGTTAGACAACACATGGTGCCCAGTCAGACCCAGGTTCCCCCTGACCAGTCTCAGCCTGGATTGTGCCCCAGGTTTATGGGTAGGGTCTTAATTCTTCACATACATCTATGAGGGTGTGGGGCAGCAGCTGTAGAGATTGCCGAGGTTTCTCTGTGTTTCAGGCTGGCCTCAAACTTGCTGTGATCTTCCTGTCTCTGCCTTCTGAGTGCTAGGGTTATACGCATGCACCAACATGCCTATACTGTGTGTTGTAAGTGGCTGGTTGCTTTCATCGCTAGTCACCCAGCAGGTATATGTCGTAGGCTTTTGCTGTTCTTTTGGAAGCAGGAGACAGGCAGACTAGTAAGCGTTGACCCCAGCGTGAACTGAGCTCCTTCTACCGTGATTTCTCTTACATAGTCCTTCCATATACCTTTTCCACACAGGCCAGGATCAAAGGGCCTTTGCTGGAGGAATTGGCCACTCCATTCTGCAGGCTCAGGTTAGGAGAGGCAATGCTGGGGTCTTTAGCCTCCTTAGGAAAGATGTAAAGGTCCTCACCCATCCTCTGCCCCAGCCTGCCACCTCCGGGAAAAATAGGGCCCCTCAGGGTCCACAGTCCTGCGGACGATTTCCAAAGATCTCCAGGGCCGGGCGTCTGTCTGGGGCCTGAGCCGCAGGTGGAAGCCTTGGGGAGCATCCCGCAGGTGTCGGGGCTCAGGCGCAGCCAGGTGGGCGTGTCTGGTCCCGCCCCGCGCGCTGGCCTTGGGAGGGTGGGACGAACGGAAGCCCCGCCCTCCCCGCGCTCTTGGTCGGAGCCCGTGCGGGAGCGGAGGCGCGCGGAGCCGGCAG